TCCGTGGCGTTGCCGTCCTGATTGCTTAAAGTCCCTAATAAGTGATGACTACGGAATGGAAAACAGCACAGGCCTAGGGAAGATAGGTATGTATGTGCACTAATCCAACTCGGAAAATACATTGCTTTGGTAAACACTATTTGGAATGCGAAAAAAGCCTTTAACTGTTTCCAGTCCAGGCTTGTAATCTACGTTTGATCGAGAAAATAAAAATAGAATTTTTTACTATCACTGCACCCAGGAAAAAATAAATAAACAAAGTAATATAATGTACACCTCTTAAAAATAATAAATGTAAGCAGTCTTCCCTTAGTTTAATACTCTAATCGTACGGAAAACTAATTAAACCATTCCGATATCACTTTGATTGAAAAATATCAAAACAAATCAAGGCTATCAGTTTTCTTACCATGGCGTCCATGATGGTACAAACAAAATCCAACTTCTCACGTACTTTTGAAATGTTCAAAGAGCCTTTGCAGTTAAACTCTCATTGAAAAGTAAGCGCGAGTCAGAGAAGAAAAGAGAGCTCGGCATTCGACATTTCTCGCACGTCATACGTCACGTCACTTTAAACATTCACTTTAAACATTCAGCACGTCACTTTAAACATTCAGTCATACCAACTTTAAACATTCGGCACGTCACTTTAAACATTCAGTCATACCAACGCGTGCAAACTGTGGGAAACCGGGAGGCCGGCAAACCGTGGTAGAATGAAGTCTTGTTGCTATTTTAATTAAAGCTTTCATGAAAGAAAACAAATATCGGCTGGGGAAAAATAGGAGAAACCTACCGAATTGGCTCTGCTTTACGGCAAGGCGAAGTGAAGGCTCTTCAACACAGCGACTACGCTATGCGATGGTTTCGCGCCATTCTTCACACTCGATGACGTCATGCCCCCAGGAGATCGCTGTTCCATTTGCGGTTTGTATTTTTGGTGGTTTCGTGCGGTGCCCAGTAAGTACGGTGCCCAGTAAGGGACATCAGATGAAAAACAGTTTTTGTAACAAGCAGTGCTACTTATTTATCTAGCACTACTACTTATTTATCTGGCAGTGCCACTTATTTATCTGGCACTCGGCTACTTAATAAGTGACAGTGCTACTTATCTGGCACTGCCACTTATTTATCTTGCACTGCTACTTAATAAGTGGCAGTGCTACTTATTTATCTGGCACTGCCACTTATTTATCTGGCACTGCCACTTATTTATCTGGCACTGCCACTTATTTATCTGGCACTGCCACTTATTTATCTGGCACTACCACTTATAACTGGCACTGCTACTTTACAACAGTACCAGATAAATAAGTAGCAGTGCCAGATAAATAAGTGGCAGTGCCAGATAAATATAGCAGGGCCAGATAAATAAGTGGCAGTGCTAGATGAAAAGTGTTTTTCATCTGATGTCCCTTACTGGGCACCGTCAGTAGTAGTGAGTTTCGGCGAGATAGGGGTAATGTAGAATGGTACAGCGTACATACAAACAGTGTAGCGTTGCGTGAAATGGCCCAACGTAACTCGCATGGCACAGCGTACACACGAATTGTGTAGCGTTACGTCGAATAGCTTCGCTGAACATCAGACGCTCCCGCTGAACATTAAATTGCTCAGCATTACATGAAATTTTTCGATGTTGTGGCAAATCGTCGAGCTTACTTGTGGCGTGGCGTGAAGGCTGAGCTATTTAACGCAACACTAAACCGTTTGTGCGTACGCTGTAGTATTTGACATCACCTGAGCTATTTCACGCAACGCTACGCTGTTTGTATGTACGCTGTACCATTTGACATTATGCCGTACCATTTGACATCACGCTAAGCCATTTCGCACAACGCTACACCATTTGTGTGTACGCTGTACCATTCCACATTACGCTGAGCCTTTTCAAGCAAAGCTAAATTGTTTGCATGTATACTGTACCATTCGACATGATGCTGAGCCATTTCACCCAAAGCTACACCGTTTGTGCGTACGCTGTGCTACTCCGTATTACCCTGAGTCATTTGACGCAAAGCTACACCGTTTGTGGACTGTATTGCGAATGAGTGCTAGACTACTCGCAATTTAGCTGGTCCATTTCACAATTTCATGTTCCAAGTCGACATGGGAAACTAGACCGTTTATCATTTGGCTAAACTATTTAAGTTTAGGGTGTTCTGTTTCATGAAGGAAACCTAGACTGGCCATGCCATTCCTTTATTAACTATGCTATCCTGCAGCTGATCCTTAAACCATCTTTGTAATTACTGATCTATTTGACATCCTTGTATTTTTGGTGGTGACGGCCGCCCATAAGTTCGACAATTTTTCTTTTCTTCACCCCAAGACAGCTTCAGTATCAGTGAGGCTGGCGTAGACTTCACGCACTCACCTTGGCTCAAAGAGCCTGCACGCGTCGTTTCTTTACCCTGATACGGTGCTCTCAGTGTTCAGGGAAACTGTTGGCTGATGGCGACTCCAAGCGGAACTGGCTTTACAGCCCTGAAAGCCGGCTAGTTTTCGTAGACAACTATGTTTTGAGAAGTGGCTAGGGAAACTATTTTCACTGCTTCTTGGATAGTGTTCATTACTGTGAAGATCTTTTTCATATCATTTCAAAGACGACACTAAGGCTACTTTTATTCCCATTTTGGTGTTGCTTTTTGTTTAAGTGATGTAAAAATATATTAGTGAAAGGAAACCCCTTCAGGTGGCTGGTATGTCAGCTTATTATGTCTGCAGCTGAGATATTGTGAACTTCTTGAGTCTTCCAGAGATGTTTGGTCGAGAAGCCGGAAGCTTCGAGGGCAAATGACATTATCAATCGACACGGGAGAGTTAGCAAGCCAGGACGGATTTATTTATTTTGTAATTTTCCATGAATTTTCGTATCGCACGTCGACAGCGTTTCTTCTTCTTCTTTTTTTTTTTTTTTTTTGTGTGTGTGTGTGTACTTTTCTTTTGATGGTCGTCGAAACTTAGCTTTTCAACTTCTTTAAGTCGTGATCGTTCTTCTTTGCGCTACTCGCTCCAGGCTGTGACCCGACGTATTTGCGCGAAGACTGGGTCAAGGCCACTAACCAGCTGTCAAAATGGCGACCAAGAATGGGTCATCAAGGCAATTTTGGAGAATATTCCCTCTTACCGTCCTATCGCTAGGTAAATACTATTTCTAGCCATACGGTAATGAAACAAAAGCATGGTTTTGTTAGCGTGATCGTAATTTTTTCTTTCTTTCAGTCGTTTTGTTCTGTAGTTGCAATGCGTTTGTCAAAGAGCTTGACGACAGGTTAGGAGAACTGCCATTTGTGGTCTATTTTCTTTTTCTTATTCTTATTTGAAGAGTATAGTATATTTTAATCGTTGTTGTCATTCTTATTACTTACGATGAAAAAAGAGGAGAAAAAAAAAGAAGAAAAATAGAACGACCTCGAACGATTGGAAACGTCCAAATAGTTGATCGGAGGCGTCACTTCTTGGAAACCATATTGCTCCCTATACTCTGTCAGCTGAATTAACTGTTTTTGAATTTGCGTTCTAAATGCAGTAGTAATCGAAAAGGGAAAATAACAAACCTTTCTAATGAATCTTGGGACCACTTAATCAAGCCCGGCAAAGGATTTTCAATTACCAAAAGGTTTAAATTACGATCAGGAGAATAAGATAATTTGTAAGGCAAGGTGAATTAATTCAGGTGGCTAGTTAGAAAGCCCATCCTGCTAGAGTTTAACTCATTCTCAGAAATGGAGTGGCTGTACTTGTTCATCCCTGTGGATATACAACAGTCAATTTTTTGGTTTTACCCAGGGTTTTGTTCTGTTTTCCTGGCTGTTACTTGGTACCCCTAGAATACTCCTAGGTAGAGAGCTAGAGAGGTTTGGTGGAAGCTAAGTGTCTTGCTAAATAAGACAACACCTTGACACACTGAGAACTTACACTGGAGCATTTGATTAAAGTTGTGGGGTGCTGACCACTATTCCACCAAACCACTAGTGCTCCCAAATAAATTTAAGGTACACTACCTTCCTTTTAGTGCAGAATTAAGGGTAATCAGTGATATTCTTTCTTCCTCATAGCTTTTCATCTCTGATGAAGGAGGGCAGCTGGTTGGTGGAGGTATTGTCTCAATGATTTTTGTCAGTGAAATTGTGATCTACATGTATTCAACAACAGAGGAGACAATTTGTTTAAGTTTCTTTTGCACCATTAATATGGTCACAAACTTCTCGGTAAAATCAAGACCACTTTTGTCCAATACCTTAGTTAAGCCTTTTCCAGTCTCTCCTTAACAGAAAAATGATCCCAAAAACCTAGTAATTCAGTCTTTTGGTGATCGCTTCATGTTTGCTAAGCTCTTGGTAATGTCTTCTAGTTCTATGCTCCTTGGTGTGGTTATTGCAAGAAACTGGAACCTATATGGGCTGAAGTAGGGAAAACTCTTCATGGATCATCTATCACAGTTGCAAAATTAGATGCTACTAGATACTCAGGTATAGAGATATTTGGTTCTGTCCTCGTGTACCGGTTCACAAGAGCCAATACAAAAGACCAAACAATACACAATAGCTAACCGATAACTCCTAAACAAAGAAAGAACAATGGTAATTCCCTTGTTAACCGGTACACCAGGACAGAACCAGATATTTGAATGAGATATTTGAGTTGCTCTGATAAAAGGGTGATGCTCAAAACATCACCTTGTAAGCTCTTTACAGTGGCCCATTTGCATTATTTATCAACTCGGTTGATAAAACCAATTTATCTTGTCATACTCCCCCACCAATGCAGCACTACATTTTCTTTACAACTTACTCTCCTTTATCTATAGAGATATTTGCAATTTACACTACTTGTAATCTTTTGATTTCTGTAACAGTACTGCTAGTGCTCAATAAGAGTGAAGTATGAGTTGCTCTGATATATGAACTTCATATATTCATTGTAAGAGTGAAATATATTTGTGCTCTTTCGTGATTCCATTCATTCATGAGAAGAGGCAGTTAATTGATAAATTAAAGGAAAACAACATCTTTGGACGTTAGAGTTTAAGTTTACTTTCAAATTCTTAGCAAAATTAAATTTGATTTGTAAGGTTAATTGGTTTCAAATACTTGGTAATATCTTTGTGTGATGAGAATAGATTGGATAGCTTATGATAAATGTATTTTACAGTTTCTCCTTTGGATTTCACTATTTAAGAAATTCTCTCTATTTTGATTTTGTTTTCTAGCATTAGCAAAACACTTTGGTATCAGAGGATTCCCTTCAATTAAATTGTGAGTAGCATTGGCAAACTATTATTAGCAATAAACAAAAATATATATTTGCACACTCTAGTTGGAAATGAATTCAGGTCAAAATGTGTAGTTTTAAACTTCTTTCATGGATAAGACTTTTTAGATAATTACACAAATTAGTGTGAATTTGTCTTTGCCTATGTATATGTATAATTTATATATAATATTATATGTATTATAACAGCAAAGCATTATCTTTTCAACTTGAAATATTTATTTACACTGCAGCAGCAGCAGCAGTAGTAGTAGTACTGTGGTAGTTGGTTAAAACTAAAAACAAATAAAAGTAAAGCTAACTAAGATAAACAAATTATAAACAAAAAATGAATACGAACAAAGCAAAATGGAAAAATACTCAATAATGCCCAATGTATAACTGCAATAATGATTAACTTAAAGCCCTCTTTACAGATAACTGTGCCAAGTGCAAATTTAAGTAGACTGACTTAAAAAGGGATTATCCGTGAAAGAAACTGCCTTTTATTTCAAAAGGACCATGAAATAAGGTGCAGTGCCAAAAAGGTGTAACTGAAAAATGCTAACAAACTTAGCAAAAAACACTGACAAGGAGGTTTTAAAAAATTAAGCATGAAGTGAATAATTAACAATTATTCCAGGAACATACATTGGAAATGAGATGATAGATAGCCAACAAGGGGCGTAGCGCCAAGTTGGCTATAATCATTTCATATCCAACAAGTGCGAGTGGAATATAATTGTTTTATTAAAAATGCCCCCAAGAAATAATTATTTTGTAAGAAGAAACTGGATTTTTTAGCTCCCTTTTGATTTTAAGCTGACGCATACACTTACCATATATGTAGATTATGGTATATTGGCTCATATACCATAATGGCTAAGCCAATAAAAAGTCTTGAATTGCATTATCCAATGATCCGTATTTTAATAAACACAAATTGCACATTAAGAAATAGTTAGCAAACGCTTAAATCTTACAGATTTATGTATAAAAAACAAGAGAGACACTTTGGACAAAGGCATGATATATGGTGGAGATCAACCCTTTTTTCTTCTGCAATTCTCAAAATTTCAAAGAGTTTCAGTCTGCTTTTGAATAAATCAATTTAGGTCTGAAAAGTATTTTTCACTGATTATTTTGATGGGATATTTAAACCTGATTTATAGATTACTATACCTTCAGTTGCTAGATTGTACTGTTGTCTTATTTCTAAGGAATGACCCTAAATATTTTAAATATATATTCAGTAAGGTACTAACTTGTTGTGCCACACATTGTTCTTGCTTTTGGTATAACAGTATTAAGGGTAAACGAGTTATAACATTTGAAGGTGAACGCACAGTCCAGGACTTTGTTCAATTTGCAGAGAAGGCCAACAGGTGAGACGTGTTTGCTTGCCTGTCTTTGTGGTTGAACCCTTATACTCTCAGACATGATGAACTCGAAATTTCACCCAGTACTATCCTTACATTAACCAGCAAACAGGTACTGATAATACTCAGACTTGTCAAGTAGAAGTTTTTTCTTGATCCAACACCAAATTCTCATAACTAATGAAAAAGGAAATGTGCAGAAGCTAGAGGGGGGAATGAGCAATCAGATCCAGAGAGTTAAGGGGTTCATGCAAATTGTTTGTGTGTTAGTCGTTTTTAGACTAGTGACCCAATCAAACTTGATATATATCACAGAGGGGTTATTTTATAGACAGAGAAAATAGCTCTTGTGAAAAATGAGTAGTAGGTGCTCCAGATGGTGTTGAGTCCTTTTGTAATAGAACCTTAACCTGTCATGGTAGAAAGAATGGGGGCTTATTAGAAACTTGAGAACCCAAACACCTGAAAAACAACAACAAAAAATGATCACAGCAGATCAATTTCCAAAGAGAACTGGTGAGTGCTCTCGTAAAGGCTATTATATATGTGCCACGGAAAACTGACTTCTTTCTGTGGATGGCTGGCATTAGTTTGTTTTTATTAGTTCAAAACTTTTTTGAGCTGCATGGAATCGGTTATATTCTGAGATGAAATTGTTTAGGCATCTGCTGATTCTTTAAGAGCACAGTTGAGGAAAAATATTATTTTATCAAAACTGAGGTGATGTGTTAAAGCCATTGGAACTAAACAGTCAAGCCAATGGCAAAAGATTAAAAATAATTTTTGTTTGATTTTAAAAAGAAATGAACCAAATGCCAAAAAATGGAACACAAATAAAGTGGATACAAAAACAAAATGAAAAAACAATTTTGAGTGAAATACCCAAAATATGGGTAAGGTAATGAATCTGATCCAACCGACGTGTCGGCCGACACGTTGGCCGGACCTTATAGAAAGACTCTGCCTCGCTGGTACTTTCGCTTGGCTCCAAACTTCGACTCGTCGATCTCCACTGTTTTTCCTACACCTCCGATCTTCATGTCAGCGTTCATAATTTTCGTCGAACATACGGTTCGTAAGTCGCTCAGCGCACGGATCACTGTAGGCTTTGAAAGGCTAGTCAGTCTGGCGATGTTACTTCTAGAAGCCTTGATAGCCCACAGGAACATTAGATGAAGCCACGTACTCAGCGGGATGTTGGAACCTTCGAAAAACCAGGTTCGAAAAGCCAGGTTCGACAGCGGCTGTTTGTACAGCATCAGTGGTGTGTCGGTAGTGTGTCGGCCGACGCGTCGGTTGGATCAGATTCGTTACCTTTACCCAAAATACAGTAACTGTAAGTTTTGAATAATGACTAAATTGACAAGTGATAGTAAGAGAAAGTAATTGCTATAGATGTCTCCATTGTCAAGGGCTTGTTAACTAGTGCAAGAAATAGTTGACCATGTCCCTGAAATGTATCTTGCAGTTAATCATAAATATTTGTTTTTATCTAATTTTTATGTTTATAAATATGGTTACCCTTCAGACCAGCGGTTACTGAGCTCAAGGATGTAGCCCAAATGGAAAGAGTAAAAAAGGAGAAAAGCGTCTGCTTTTTCCTGGTTACAAGCAATGACAATCCAGAGTTGTCAGAAAAACTTAAAGTAGGTTGTTCATAAAGGCACATCAGTGTTCTTAACACTTTATTTTGAGTCAAAACCTAGTAACAAGATTTTGTGAATGTGATATGGACCCTGTATGATCAATTTTAAGACAAATGCAGCTTGAAGCAACAGCAGAAGCAACTGCAGCAACAACAACAACAACAACAACAACAACAACTAAAAAAACATCAACAAAAAGCTCACAGAAGGAATTAAGATATTCAACTTCAGAGAGTTTTGTAAAAATTTGAAAAGTACAGAGTGTTACGTACCTCTTATTATCCAACTGCACTGCAAGCAGAGTAAAAATAATGCACAAATCAAGTACAAATGTCCATCCTGCAATATTGGAAAGTTAGTTATTTGTACTGTGTAAAAAAGCCGTTTAACTGGTCTGCTGGGCATGCTGTACACATCCACCTGCTTTCCTCTTCCTGCTTCATGAGGAATTCACATGAAATAAAGCAGTTAGATAGTAAATAACTTATTAGACATTTTGGTGTATAGTATTGCTGAGTATTTTTACTCATTATTTGTATTTTGACTTGGCCTATGGACTTGTCAAAATAGGGTACAACTTGTAAAATACTCAGTGATTTCCATGCACCAAAATGTGTTATATCTAATTACAGATATATTTTTTTCTCAGGAAGTTTATTTTCAAGTTGCTGAAAATAAGGTTACTCAAAGCTATTTTTATCAAATTGACCAGGGGGCTTTACCAGAGGTGAGAATTCATATTCAAATCAGGTGAAGGAAAAGTCATAATAATATAATTGCAATTAGCAGTTACTGTTAGTAGTACTTTGTCTATAACATCTTATAATCAGGTATGACACATTTACTTGCTCATTATATTATACCTTAATTGATGTGGCACTAGCTACTACGTGACAGAGGCCATGGCCTTATGGTCAGTGCATCAGACTCAGGGGCAAGGGGTCAAGAGTTCAACAGGTTCAGGTTAGAGACTCGGCCAGGTGGATGTGTTGTGTTCTTGGACAAGACACTTAACTCTAACAGTGCCTCTATCCACACAGATGTAGAAATGAATACTGGTTAACTGTCAGGGAAGCCTGTGAAATGCTGGGGGGGGGGGGGGTAATCTTGTGATGGACTGGCATCCCATCCAGGGGGTAGTTAATAATCATTATGATATAATTATAGACCTGCTAAATCTCCCTCTGTCAGTTCATTTACTTTTTTTCTTTGTAAAGGATGATCAGGTAAAAGCACCAGCTGTCATTGTTTCAAAAGATAGTTCCATTTCCATGTTTGAAGGTATGCAATAATAGGGAAAATTAATATATGACTCGTAATTAGTCATTAGATAACATGACTAAATTGTTTCTCTTAGAAATGTTATTTGCCAATGAGTAGCAGAAGTTTTGGCATGCACCAATAATTTTTTTTTTCACAGTCTATGACTTTTATTTCCCTCTCTCCCTTATTCCAGCATTGCCTGATTTTAACAAAATGCTCTCTAATTTCTGGCAACATTGTCTAAGAGAAAAGATGGGACTTTCAAGTACCTCATTAGAAAATTTCTGTTTACTTCATGGAGGGGTTTATTGACCACCTAACAAGGGAGGGCATGCCATTTACTTTTGCCACTAAATATAGATAATTTTTTATCCTTCAACCATTTGTAGCTGTGCAATTATCAGTGATGTAAATTGCACATTCAAAATATTGGTTTTAACGCTAATATTTTTTTAGTATTTATTATTATTTACTTATTAAAACAAGTAACAGCAAATGCGTATTATTGAAAAAGTTTATCATGTATGATAAACAAGTGTTGCTGAAATGCAGGACTTTTTTCTAATTTTTTAAAATAACATATTAAATATAGATACAATGAATATACGAAGTTCATATATTTTGAACTGCGGTTGTAGATACGTATGATGCACGATCCTCGCAGTAGAGAGCGCTATTTATGCAATAGCGAAAATCAGACCTGAAAAAAATCAGGCCTGTACGGGATTCGAACCACTGACCTCTGCGATACTAGTGCAGCGCTCTACCAATTGAGCTAACAAGCCAACTGGGAGCAGGCCGTTAAGTTGATTTGTAATAAACCCATGATGATAAATCAGATACAATGAACATATGAAGTTCATATATTTTGAACTGCGGTACAATGAATATATGAAGTTGAACTTCATATATTCATTGTATCTGATTTATTGTCACGGGTTATTACAAATCAACTTAAAGGCCTGCTCCCAGTTGGCTTGTTAGCTCAATTGGTAGAGCGCTGCACTAGTATCGCAGAGGTCAGTGGTTCGAATCCCGTACAGGCCTGATTTTTTTCAGGTCTGATTTTCGCTATTGCATAAATTAGCGCTCTCCACTGTGAGGATCGTGCATCATATGTATATTAAATATAGTTTTCAGTATGAATTAAAGGCTGAAAGAAATAGTTTTGTTGACTAATTTGTTTGAATCAAGTTTCAGACAATGTAACTGAAGAGAGTACTTTATCTGGATGGGTAAATAATGAAAGATTTGAAGCATTTGTTCATGTCACCAGATCAAATTTTCATGATATCACCACAACTGGTAAATGAAACAAAAGTGATTCTTAATTTTACACAATCCCATGATTGATCAATGATCACTGTAAGTTGACTTCACCGACTGTTATGAAAACTTTGTAATTCAAGTATTTTCTCGTGGTTTAAAATTGCTAAACCAGAGATAGTTTCATTATCTTTTGTTTTAGAATATGATCATTACCCAGGTATTACAAGCCAAAGTAAAATGTAAATGAAACTGGTTTGAAAATCCAAGTGCACGTAAAAAAATAGCCACTAACAACAATTAAGTGCCTTCATGTTCAATGGGAGCAACTTTCACTTTATCGTCAACTTTATCATGTCAATCTAAAACTTTCCTTGCATTTGCATACATTGTTTTGTTTCTATGGTTGTTTTGTCCCAGGAGTATTTTGTTATACACTTTAACTTAAAATTTGTTCTATGAAAATATTTTAACTGAAGGTGACAGAAGAACTGTTAAAACATGTCTTTTCTGCTCCTATCTAGACCTTTTGGAAATAAATCAAACAATTTTCCTAATGAGATCCTAAAGTTTGATATTCTTTTGATAACTTACTTTCAGGTAAAATGATGCTGTTAACTGTACTGGCAGAACAAAAGAGTAAAAAGAAAATGAATGAAAGGTATTGGAAATTTTTACTGTTTGCTCTGATGATCTCACTAAAGATTCTTATCATAAAATTTTGTTATGAATTGACCTACTATCTGATATTTTTTAATTGTAATGTAACTCATTTTTTGTTGGAAATCCTTCTCTGATAGAGGACCAGACTGCTAAGATCTTTAAGTTTATAAAGGCCAATTTGAATGCAATGCACATCACATTTGCTTGGAAATTCCAAACTGGTGTCTCTGTCATTAGTCTCTCTGTCAACTGAAGATAAAATTTAACCTCATCATCATTTGAAAGGAAATTTGCTACATTCCCCAATTTTGGAAATAATACCAAAACACAAGATGGGAAGCCACACTCCCTACTCTTTTTAAGAAGTGTGTGGGTTCTTTAATATCCCCTGTTAACTAGTCCAGAGAATAATTATGCAAGAGATAGTGCCTAACTTAGGTTTATTGTCCTTATGCAAGAAGACTAGAACATCTGACCATTTGCAGATGCAGGTACCATTTGCAGGTTGTACATTCTCCTCAGTTAAGACCCTGAGTGTTGGTTAACTTTAGGGCTTTAACCCTTGACTGCCTGCATGGCAGTCCAGCACTCTACAATCTGAGCTAACCAGGTAGTGGCAAGTGATAACTTGTGGAGTACAACTGATCATGTGGAATACTTAAAATTAGACATTTTTATTACCCTTTACATCTTGAGTTTTTTGCAGGAATAATTCCTTGCCACATACATATCACTCTGTACAGTCTTTAAATTAATATGTTTTGAAGACTTATTTTCAAAATGTCATGTTGCTTTTTCAATTCTGTCAGAGTCAGCAAAATTGTCAAAAGTGTGGCTGTAAATGAACGGGAAAGATTTCACAGGTGAGTGCAACATTCTGCAGCTTCTGGAATCCTTTATATGACTGAACAAGGAGGGTTTTTCTACTCTTGGGCTGACTGATCTTCCCTACTGGAGCTTCCTTTAGGTCAGGTACAAAGAGGAGTTTTGGTACTCCCTTCAGATGTGATGTGGATTCAATGTGCAATAAAGGTTACCCCCTCTCCCCTTAGCTTTAGGATTTGCTTAGAGTTCACAAATAACTGTACCTTAACAATGTAGAGGCTAAGGAAACTTCTGGAAATATATGTTGCAGGGGCTTCATTAATGTTTTCTGCAGGAGGGCAACTGGTTTTCACAGGCGGGAAAAACTCTTTGAACTGAACTTCTTTATAAGATAAACTTTCCTCCAGACCGTCAAATCAGGTGGGCAAAACCGTCCTCACAACCGGTCAATTTGCCCTGTGCCTGGCCCTTAATGAAACCCCTGATGTTGGGATCACATGTTTGGATGCAGAAGAGACCCTTGTGAGTGAATTGTTTAATGATCTTGTTGTTACCCAATACACCTCTTCTAGTCCAATTTCAAATGTACCTGTTGAGGCACTGGACCACATCTCTTTCAAATAGCGTGACATGGAAAAAGTTTATCCAAAATGAAACATGTAAAAATTGCTAAAGGACAAGAGGAGGTGCTGTCAGAAAATTAGGTAAAACTTTTAATAATGTTAAGATTGACTTCTGATATTTTCATTTTCAGGCATTTTCAGTTTGGATGGATGTTGGGGGATACTATTGCAACAAATCTCATGATGAGGTAAAAAAAAAAGATTTTCAGTGGAGTTTTTCATGAAATCAATGCTTTTTAGTATGCAGAAATTTTCAAGATTGAATCTGCCGTAAACCCCCCAAAAATTCTCAGGCTGCTTTGTAAATGCAGTAAGCCAAATGCAGCTGAACCCTTTCATTCCCAAGATCTCATAAGAAATTCTCCTTACTGCCTGCCATACAATTCTTATGATGTAAGTTTGGAGAATTTGATATTGGATCAACTGATAATCCCCTGATTTTCTTTTTCCTTATTCTCCTTACTTTTCTTCATGATATTGTATTCGTGATGTTGTAAGGAGAAGTTCTGTCTTGGTCACTCATGGGAGATGTAAAAAGGGTTAAAGAAGTATATAAGAATCAGTTTATTCTGGTTGACAAGAAGGCAAAATTTTACATGCTTACACAAAGAAATAAGGGGAAAAAAAAGAAAAATGCAGACATCAGGGCAAACAAAGGGACGTTGTGGATCAACAACTTGATGGAACTTACAACTTATAACTTACTACATTTTCATACTGATGATACATAATTTAATAAAAATCTGATATAATTATGGACAGTTTAATTAATGGCGTACTTAATTTTTGCTGTTATTATGATCATTATTTATTATGACAGCAGAGTCTGATTAGATCATCATCATCATTATTGTTACTATCTCTACAATTTTCATATTATTAAGAAGTTATTTTCTTTTCACTCTCAGTACAATGTCAGCCCCATTCTTAATGGCATACAACAGTACAAATCATGTGTATTACTTGAAGCAGTACATAGAGATAAAAGAGGAATTTACTGAACAACAGCTGGTGTCTTTCCTTGAAGATGTATTGGAGGGTCGTGCAAAGGTAACTCTAAGGAGTTTTTAGCTGAATGTTATTTACCTCTGAAACTCTAGTTGCAGTCACGCGGGCATTTTGTCAGTTAACCAATATACTTGTTTTTCATCTTTGCAGGGATATGGTGGGGACTCGTATTTTCAAAGATTTTATAGGGTAAGACACCGCTTGTAAAATTATTGAACACTTAATTTATTTGAACACTGAGGCTGAGATCAACCAAAATTTTAAACGCATACTTGGGAGGTACTTGAGGCTTAAATTTAGTGAATATTTTTTACCAAAGAGTTAATTTTATAGGAACGTTGTGGCTGAGGTAAGACCAAAATTTAAGTGCATGCGTGGAACATATCTCAGACTGAGATGTATGGTTAAGAACATCTTTACTTTTTGTTGCATTGTGACTCTCTGTGTTCAAACAGTTTTGTAAAGCCAAATTTAGCAAGAACATTAGGGTACATTGCTCAAGGATTTGACAAGAATCTTGTCACCACACCTGAGTAAATATCCCATCTTCATGAGGGTCGCTTGTCTCGTCTTCATGTTTTGCTTGGGTGCCTTGTTGGAGGCAGTAGTTAAACTCCAGGATCATTCTTCTTCTTTTAAAAACGAGTGTATTTGGAAATGTTCTATAAGATGTGGTGTGTTTTCCCTGATGAGCAAAAAATTGCTTGATATCAGCAGAAATATCGCTCTATGTTTGTGATAATTTCACGTTTTACAATATATTGAGTAGTATTCTGTGGTTTAATCTCTTTCAAAGGGGATTTGGGAACTTCTCAGATCGATTTACGTAAGTATTGCTTAACATTTATGTTCTGTTTGCTCTTCCTAATTAGCAATTTAAACAATTTAATTATTAACCCCGTTCCCAGGGTTTCTCATCTTCCTGCCCCAACCCACCCCCTCCCCCGAGGTGGCAAGATGAGAGACCCTCGGAAGGAGGTTGTTTAATTATTAACAAATAGATTCTATATTGCCGTGTATCTGTTCAGTAATAGTTCACATGATGGGGCCAAGTGTGTCAATGATCTTCTTACCGCATTTTGGCCAACCTCGTTCCCAGGGTCTCTCATCTTCCTGCCCCCTGGAGCGGGGGGCGGGGGCGGGAAGATGAGAGACCCTGGGAACGAGGTTGCATTTTGGCGTCTTCTGTGATGACAACAACACGGAATCTATTTGTTAAATGAAACTGCTGTTAATGGTGACTTCAGTTCTGCGTCTGTCCTCCAACAGATCATTAGTAAGATCCAATCAAAATGCTCCTATGATTCAGCTTGTGATACAATTTCTTTTATTATATACACACTCAGTGATCTTGGCGTTTCAAGCAATCTGATTGGTTCGCTATCTCGGGCTAATCAACAATGTACACCTCCGAGCGAGTGGATAATGTGAAAATCAAAATAGCGGGCGTAAACTCGCGTTTCGCTAAAGTTTCAGAAGCAGAAATTGCCTTTAAATGGCTTCCTTTTAATTTTGTCGAGATCACTTCGTGTGTATATACTAAAACAATCTTTCTTTTCAATCTCGGTGAATAGTGGCTTTCGAGAATATTTAGCCACTATTCACCTCGATTTCAAAGAATAATTGTTAATTATATCATGTAAAACACTCAACTGAGCTCCCTTATAAAGCAGTGCTGCATACAGTTTGTCAACAAAAGTACACTAACGATGTTTACTAATATCCTCGTTTCCTTCATTTTGCTTATTGCTCTAATGGCTAAAGAAAAGCGGTGTTGGTTTTTTTCATTTATTATAAACTGACTGTTGTTTAAGTAAAGATCATTACTGCAAATATCTCTCACCTTCATCGAACCTTTATATTTGATGATTACAGGAAATCTGGACCACCCAACCCATTGCTGCTCTTCTGATGTTTGGCTTCCCTCTACTGGTGTTCTCGTTTCTAATCTATATGCTTTGCATTGCTGACTCCGGACCTGAGGAGGACGATTTCGAAGAGCTTGAAGATGAAGGCGCCGAGTTTATAGATGATAAAGATGGAGAAAGAGAACTTAAAGCAACTGAGGAGGAATTTGATCCAAATCCAAAACCAAAGACAGAATAATCGCTTTATTCAGAAACATTACAATTGTTGTGGCGGCATCTACTTTTCCAGAATCGCAATGGTAGAAGGAACCCTTCAGAGATGTCCAGGTTTTTCTGAGGAGCAAGCCAGAATGGTTCATCCTAGCCTATATAAGAAGCGGTTTTTCGTCCAGCGCTTAATGATAATAAAGATAGCAGAGTGGCGACTGTGAGTGGTAAAACTATAACATTACTTCCCGAGTTCCACGCGGCTCCGCTGCTCGCGGTTTCGAGGTGCACACGAAACCCTCATCTACGCAGGCTAGGTACTTGGTCAGCTGCTTAGAGTCCATTTCAATCGAGCGTGGTAAAACCAAAACCAGTGTTCACACAACAGCCACCGCGAGCCAAGGGGAAATGTTACATGGAGCCGATGAGGATGAATGGGAAAACAAGTTAAAAACAAGCACACTGCAAAAAGCTAACGAAAATGAGAGTGATCAAGTTAGGATTGGTTTTTAACTATGCGAGGTTCCTTGACCAACTACAAATACAACTTGAGTGCAGTCACTCATGCCTTCCCAACCTCGTTACCAGGGTCGAGCCTGAGAACGAGGTTGATGCCATCTGTGCAGACTCTCCTAAGGCTTAGGAAATCCACCATCAATTCAGCGACTAGAAGCATATCCAAACCTCAGTAGACCGTCTGGCATCTTAGTTCTGGGAGTCACCTTATACACACAGCTTTTCTTACCAGGCCGAATTTCACGCATTACGGATGACTTTTAAGACCACTTACTACGTAGAGCAAAGCTATCAGATAGTGGCGACTGAACTTATCCTCTGCTTTTCACAGTCTATTCGTTGCCTTTACTGGGCAGTTAATTCAGTTTACTCCATACACACAATTGAAAGAAAGTTAATAAATATATGCCTGAATCAACTCATTTATGAAGTCGTTTAGATTGAGTTTCCCATCATAAACGCATCTGGGGTCGAAACATGCAAGTTGAATTCCTCAACAGCAGAACTTCATGATTCCTTAGGACGGACTTTGCAATTCATGCACACTCCCGTCAAGGTTTTAGTCCACAGAACTCGAGGGTTGGGAGGAAGGGGGGCCATTCCTCGATTTGGCAAAAAAATGAGTGTGATGCCCATGCCCAACAGCGTAGGTTGGTCAATCAAGTGTTGCACAGTATCGTTAACGTTACTATTCAGTGTCTTAAACGGTGTGTCATTAAGGATAGGAACAAATACTACTTCAAGAGAATGAACTTGCACAACACTCGGGTTGCATAAAACTTATGATAGAAAGGTTAAAGATAAGTCCGAAAAAGCAAGAGTGAACCATTTAATCCCGAGATGCCACACAAAGTCATATTCAAAACTTGCCTAACAAAAGTTCATCTACATTCTTTCAGTAGGCTGCGCTTTCACAGGAGATCCGAATGAAGGTAGCTCAGTAATGCAAAACTACAATGTACATTGACAAAAATAACATTGACAAGGGTCGGCTCTGTCAGGACATTGTGGTTCAATGCACCAATATAACTCACCCAAATGTTACTGTTATGAGATAACGTTGCTATTGCATGCAATTAGCCAATTTATTGTGATAAGGGGGGGGTTTACCCCTGTGGGGGATAGGGTGTGGGTGGGGTTATTGAAATGTTCCCTGCCAAGCAAAATTCAGACACAAACTTGGCCACAAATTTTCCATAAAAGTTGGACTCCATCTGAGTGTGAGGCACTTAATATCATGGCCAAGCAATGTGAAGTATCACAGTACTTTTCAGAAATTCAGTCTTGGCAGTATTGAACCAGGCTTTAGATAACTACAAAGAATAACAGTGCACATGTTTCAGCAGATGAATTTGAACATTTATTCACAACTTATTTCTTCTTCATTGCATCTTGCTCAGCTTTCTCCCTAGCCCTCTTCTCACGGATGCCAACCAACCTGGCATTGGCACGAGCAATACGCATGCTACAGAATACACTGGTGTTCTTTTCCTCATCAGTGATCTTGCGAGCCTTGATTGGTAGGCGAGACTGTTGGATTGGCATGACTGCTCCCTGAAGTTGTACTGCATTGGACAACTCAGCAGCCTAGAATTTTGGATAAATCAAATAAACATTTTGCTTTAAAAAAAAAAAAATCTGTTATAAAAGTCTACATCACAGAGGAAAGAAAGTTTTGTAAATCACAGGGTGAAGGCAATTGATTTACAAACTTTTCAAGCGTTTTTGCATGGATTATTACATGCATCTTTGTACTTCATTTGTTACCTCACTATCTCCTTGTTTGGGTTTGCTGGCCTTCCTTGGGAAGACGATCAACTTGCTCTTATACTCCTTCAGTCTTTGTACATTAGCCTGTAGGGATTCCGCTGATCTGTTCTTTCTTCTGTGATCAACAGAGATACCAATAGTTGGAGCGACTTTACGGGAGATGCCAGCAGCCTGAAACAATGAAAGTAATAAATGACCCTGTTAATGACCAAGTTGAAATAAAAGTTGCTTTGCATCTGACTGGATAAAAGGCACAGAGAATAGCAAAACTAATGGAAATCTAAAACACTTTCACTACTCAATTGAAAATTACCATAATTAAACAAAGCTCATTACTGGCCAGCTACACCCCTCTGTAACACCTCTTACCACCTTCCATTGAGCTTACAAGCAGGCTTTCTGACATTGGTGTTCAGTTTCACACAAGCGAGTTACCAGCTGAGCGAGCGCCTTGGAAAAAAGCCTCTCCATAAGCCATTTGCTTTCATATTTCTGGCATTTATCCATGAACTAGGCACTCTCAACTGGTCAAGAATGACAGGACACTTACAGAGATGTCAATGAAAATTTAAAGAAACAGCACTCTTTTTGATGCCCAGAGTGCTGGAAATTACATTCTAAGCCTCTAGAGTTCCAATTTTTTTTCTGGGGGAGCATTCCCTCAGACCGTCCTTGAGGAAAAGGAGCTTTACAGCCCTTTTTTCAAGCACAGCAGCCTATAACACCATCAGCAGCCACTTGTGGAAAAAGTTTTAGCACCCCTGTTATAATCCAAGGATCTACCTAAATTCCTACCTTCAGTTCTTCCAAAGTGAAGCCTCGTCCAGCCCTTATCTTGGTGTTCTACTTAAAAGTTGGGCAACGCACAATTGGACGCAAAGCACCAGCTACTGGACGAGGTGCAATCTGTAAAGCCCTCTTTACACGGGCAACACGCCTGCGCTTCTTGCGCCCAGGCTGATCAAACCATGTTCTTACATAGTTCTGCCACTGTTTGTGGAAGTGGTTGTTGTGTATCATGTTATTGTGTTTGGGTGCCATGGTGGTAAGGCTGGGTATTAAACCTAAAAGAAAAGAGAGTTACATGAGATATGGGTGATTCAATTTCACTACTGTAAAATGAATAACACTACAGTATGATGTAGGAAATTTTAAGACACAAAGGACTTTGTCTCCTCATATCTAACACCCCTATCACACCAAAGCCTAAACGTTTTATAAAGCTGTTTCAGGGTTTGTACACCTTTGACCCGTTAAAATTCCATGACTTTTTCCATGACCTTTTGAAAGATTCCATGACAAGAATGCAGTGTGAAAGAATGTTTGCAAACATTCCCACAACGTGTGCTTCTGTTTATTTCTAATGAAAATAAATCTGATTTTTGGACTCGTCAGTTAACTTTTCAACTTTAGTTCTTATTGCCTTTCACTCATAGAGAGCATATTGATTTTCCATGACTTTCCATGACCCACACCTAAATTTCATGACTTTCCAGGCCTGGAAAATGAAATTTTGAAATTCCATGACTTTCCAGGTTTTCCATGACCTGTACAAACCCTGTGTTTGGTTACACACAATTGAAAATTGTTTTCCCCCTAGTAGCTGCTTAAACTGATGTTTGTCTACCACAAATTTAGCATATTGAAATTAACAGTTAGTGACTACATGAAACCTGTGGAAAATTCAAATTTTCAGTTCTGATTTTCATTCAGTTAAAGTGTCTATAAGGCCAACAGGGTTTTTATTGTTTTGGTATCTCTTTTAACCTGTAAAAAAGTATTCTAAAATAAAATTTGATTCTGATGCCTCTTCACCCTAAAATGGAGCTTTAAAGTTCCCACTTCGGCCACACCCAATGAAGTTGACTGTGTAAGGGAAGATTGGTGATGAGTGACATCACTCCAGGAGTGTCTTGAGTGTCATGTTGTTACTTTGCTTGACAAACGCAGTACTTTTACAACACATCTATCGGGCATATTTATGTCACCGAAAACTCTTTACCTTACTGAAAAACACAGTGAAATGAATCACTGGCGGGATTTGGCGCATTCCTGATTTGACATCACGACCATTTTGAACCCAATCTCTTTTTTGCCCCAACTCACGGTCACCTTCAATGGGCATGGCCAAAGCGGGAAGTTTAAAGCTCGATTTCAGGGCTCGTCAGAATCCAATTTTTATTTAAGAATACTTTTTCAAATGTTAAACACATACCAAAACTATAAAAACCCCGTTGGCCGTATAGACACTTTAAACCAGGAACAAACTGAAATGTTTTGCTGACATTAATGGTATGGGTCAAAGTGAAAAATGTGACAATTAGTTTATTTTTTAACAAAAAAGGTACAATTTCTTTTGTATGGCACTTCCCTATCCCTTATTCATCTACGTACAATTAAAATGTATAACAGTTACTCATCTGTATTTTGACTTTTTTATAATATCTAGGCTTNCCCTTTAATACAACCACGATTACGTACATCATTAAACCACCCAAAATACAATATTTCATACTAAGTGTCTGACAATTAAGGGAGGCAAAACCTACTCCAACCAGACGACTACATAAAAATAACTCTTTGATTGGGCACAAAATTTATTAAGAAATTTATATAACCCAATAGCTTCAAGAATTATGATGCGATGCGAGAGAAATACATGGATTGTTGCTCAACACTGACCTTACAACCAAAACTTCACCACAATGCAAGGAAAGAGGGTGAGAGCGAGAAGGACGTGACGCATTGTGGGATATCTTATAGAGGTCAGCGGTAAATTTCATTGACTAAAAGTGTTCCACCGATTTGGATTACATGTGCCGGAATAATTTAACCTAAATGATCTTCAAATGATAACTGCTTTTACCATAATATGTCTGTACAGAAGCTAAAAAGATCTCAGAAAGATGTTGGTGTATCAAATGAATCAGTGTCTGCGACAGTGAAAAAGGCTTTTAAGAAAAATTCCAGTTGGGAAGATAAGGTAGATCGATATATATATTCGCGATTGGTAGAAATTCCTCAAGGAGAGATTGATCATTTAGCTAAATGTTATACACCTTATATTTGTTGTTAAAAGAGGATTTGTTACTTCTTGTTCAATGAAGAAACCCTTCGACTATTTGCTGACAAAATCCTTACTCAACGAATATATGAAATTCTTATATCTGAACTGCAGTTATAGAAACGTATTTTTGCACGATCCTCGCAGTAGAGAGCACTATTTAAACAATAGTGAAAATCAGACCTGAAAAAATTCAGGCCTGTGTGGGATTCGAACCACTGACCTCTGCGATACTAGTGCAGCGCTGCAGTAGTATCGCAGAGGTCAGTGGTTCGAATCCCGTACAGGCCTGAATTTTTTCAGGTCTGATTTTCACTGTTGTACTGCGAGGATCGTGCACAAATAAAATCCTTACTTTTGCATGCAATTACCTGCACGAACATGCCCAGCTTAGCAATAGTCAGTCTATCAATTTAGACAACAAAACCCCAATTTCTTGAATGTAGTAAAGATATGCATCATGGCGTAACCATCAAAGCTGTGTATAGCATTTGCGTACTTTGATTAAGAACATAATATTTTATTTCACACTGGTCAGTTTGCTCAGCTACTTGAGGTACACATTTGCAACTGGAACTTTGATTCATAGGTAGTGTGAGGGGTTTTAGCACTATTCCTTGGGTGCTTTATATCCAGCCAAAAAGTTCAAATTTTCTGGACCAAAATCCAGAGGAACAAGAAATTTTCTTTTGAAAGCTTCTAGTAATGTAGAAATTCCAAAAATGTCCTCTTCTATTGGCAATTTGAAATCCCTGGACATGCAGATTAGCTTTGTCCTCGTTACAAACAAACTGGCATTATGTGATACAGCAGTTTCAGTGGGTAACTTGTGGCATTTTGTCAGCAGGATTGGACTTTTCTCTGATTAATATTAGTATCCATGGCTTTTTAGGATCATTCTGTTCAAATATTCAAAAAACTTTTTAAAGGGCTGCTGTTTTTTTGAGAATAAGATGCATTTCACACACAACTTTTGCATTGATCTTAAGCTCACAATTTTGAAGTTCTTCAACACTTTTCCTTTTGACCTAGTAAATTTTCCAAAAATATAGACTAAGATCTTTTGTCAGTAGGAAAGTTTCCCTGGTTGTCAGTAGGAAAGTTTCCTCTGGGTTTTCTTCATTTACAGACTTTCAAATAGCCTGGATAGTTTGGCAGATAAAACCAGATCTTGCTTTGTTCAATAAAAATTGTTTTCATCTTCTAGATAACTGTATCTTTCCTTTTCAGTACTGAAATATAAAATGCAATGAAATTTTGAGTAACACTTGAGACAGAAACAAAGAGGGGAAACAAAGTTCCCATTTTGCCAAAGAAAGCTTATATGACAATTATTATAGATCATTTTTATGATTTTGAGGTATTTACCAATTTAACCCTTAACCCCCATGAGTGACCTAGACAGATTTTCTCCTTACAATATTAATACAATACCAAGTAGACAAGTGATGAGAATTAGAAAAATATCAAGAAGGGGATTATTATTTGATCCAATACCAAATTCTCCAAACTAACATCATAAGAATTGTATGGTAGATGGTAAGGAGAATTGCTAATGAGATCTTGGGAGTGAAAGGGTTACGTCAGTGATCTTTCTGTTTTATCCGCAGGATGAATTCCTTGATGTAATATACTGGTTTAGACAAGTGTTGGCAATTATTTTAGGCATTATTTGGGGTCTACTACCTTTAAAAGGAATCCTTGCTATAGCACTGTAAGTTGCTAATTATTATTTAGGAATAAAGGCTGATAGTTTCTAAAGAAACTATTTGGGGCTGCGTAGGTGGGGATAACAAAGTAATTTGAATATATCAACAAAGTTGAAATGGTAAATTGGCCACTGTTACGATTATAAAAGCTAACGTTTCAAGCGTTACCCCTTCGTCATTCGCTCCAACGAAGTAGTTAGAATTGAATTAGCTTTTTCTAAGTGATTATCACAAATTTTAAAATTTATGACACGATAAGCAATAGGACAGGGTGTGTTTAAAGCTCTACCATCGGCATAGTCACAAATTTGACTTCGATAAGGTACCTGACCTTCAAAACAAGTGTGCTCAGTTCATGCAAGTTTTGCAGACAATAAAAAATTGTAGTTACAGTACAGCTGAGACACTGACTTGTACATGTTTATATTTCACTAAATAAACACTTCAAGACTGAGATAACGAATAAATGCCGATGCACTGCCCTTTAATACAACCACGATTACGTACATCATTAAACCACCCAAAATACAATATTTCATACTAAGTGTCTGACAATTAAGGGAGGCAAAACCTACTCCAACCAGACGACTACATAAAAATAACTCTTTGATTGGGCACAAAATTTATTAAGAAATTTATATAACCCAATAGCTTCGAGAATTATGATGCGATGCGAGAGAAATACATGGATTGTTGCTCAACACTGACCTTACAACCAAAACTTCACCACAATGCAAGGAAAGAGGGTGAGAGCGAGAAGGACGTGACGCATTGTGGGATATCTTATAGAGGTCAGCGGTAAATTTCATTGACTAAAAGTGTTCCACCGATTTGGACTACATGTGCCGGAATAATTTAACCTAAATGATCTTCAAATGATAACTGATTTTACCATAATATGTCTGTACAGAAGCTAAAAAGATCTCAGAAAGATGTTGGTGTATCAAATGAATCAGTGTCTGCGACAGTGAAAAAGGCTTTTAAGAAAAATTCCAGTTGGGAAGATAAGGTAGATGGATATATTTATTCGCGATTGGTAGAAATTCCTCAAGGAGAGATTGATCATTTAGCTAAATGTTATACACCTTATATTTGTTGTTAAAAGAGGATTTGTTACTTCTTGTTCAATGAAGAAACCCTTCGACTATTTGCTGACAAAATCCTTACTCAACGAATATATGAAATTCTTATATCTGAACTGCAGTTATAGAAACGTATTTTTGCACGATCCTCGCAGTAGAGAGCACTATTTAAACAATAGTGAAAATCAGACCTGAAAAAATTCAGGCCTGTGTGGGATTCGAACCACTGACCTCTGCGATACTAGTGCAGCGCTGCAGTAGTATCGCAGAGGTCAGTGGTTCGAATCCCGTACAGGCCTGAATTTTTTCAGGTCTGATTTTCACTGTTGTACTGCGAGGATCGTGCACAAATAAAATCCTTACTTTTGCATGCAATTACCTGCACGAACATGCCCAGCTTAGCAATAGTCAGTCTATCAATTTAGACAACAAAACCCCAATTTCTTGAATGTAGTAAANATTATTATTATTATTATTATTATTATTGTTATTATTATTATTAATATTATTATTATTATCATTATTATTATTTGGAGTCAGAGCTTCCTCCCCACAGCCATCAAAGATGGTGGCCCACTGCACTTGCTCGCCCAAATTATGCCTGCTCTGCAGGCTATATTAGAGGAAAATTCAGTACTTGACGAGGGAATTCCGCATTAAATTGCACGCAAAAACCGATATAGCACGAATCGCGAAGCGATTCGTGCGATATCGGTTTTGAAGTACAATTTAATGTGGAATTCACGAGTGAAGTAATGGATTTCCTTGAATTGCATAACCAAATTAAAATGAGTAAAAAAAGGAAACAGCATTACTTAAAATTGTTATGTTTACGTAGATGCGAAACAATATCAC